TTTGTTTGCTGAACTTAAAAGATAAATGCAGATCAAGATATTCAATCATATAAAATAAAATATTCATCCAACTATGTTCACTGAACTTGTTTATTTAAATCAATAAAAGATAATTTCATATCATAAAAAACTCATGACCTAAAAGATAAACACAAATGAAACTAATTGTATAAGCCTACATCCTAAAAAAATATTATGCAAGGCCGTACACATATGAAATATTATTTAAAAAGAATATTTTTTATTTTGAAAATAAATTTTATTTGTATAAAACACAAAAAACATAGATGAATTAGAAAAATATTTTGAAAACTCTAACATCAACAAGATAATTTTTTTAAAAGCTTATATTATAAAAAGAAATACAAAACCTGCAACCTATATCATGAGACTAAAATAAATCCATACAAAAAAAATTAAAGAAAATGACTAATACTTTAAAAAACTAATGCATGAAGATATAAGCACACAAAACCGGATCCCTAACAAATCAAATATCAAAAGATAAAACTAAGAGGAAAAATCAATCAAACAAATGGAACTAAGAAAAATGAGAGTGAAAATAAAAAAAAAAAAAAATCAGAGGGCAAACAAAAATTTTTAATTAGAGGGTTAAATTTAATTGAAAATAGCTTAACAAAAAAATCAGAAGAATGGAAATTAAACTGAAAAAAATAAAACAACAAAAACTTTGATTGAATGATGAAATTAAAAGTAAAAAAATAGTTAACAAAAGGATCCAGGGAAAAAATTAAAAATAAAAAGAATAGGGAATGAAATGAAAAATAAAACATATGAAAAATTACAATTGAATGACTAAATTGAAGAAAAAAGCTTTTATAAAAGGAATAAGAAAAAATAAAAAATTAAAATAATAAGGACTAAAATTAAAAAATAAATAAAAAAGATAATTATACACTTTACTTAGCAGAAGAAAAAAAAAGAAAAAAAAAGAAATTTTCAGAGATAATCTGACTATCATTTGTCATCACATGCCATACCATATAAAAAAAATATAATAATATATATAAAAATAATTTAAAATTATATTTGATTACTGAATGATATTATATATACACAACTTGAATGTCATGGACACTATCCATCACATACTAAACACAAGCTATTAGGTTTTTTGAAAAATTAAAAATATAATTTTTAAATACTGACTATCCTAAAAACCGACTGGAAAGTAAAAGGTATCCCCAAATGTTAACTTATTTTTTGTCTTATCTAAAGCCAAAAACATATTTTATAATGGAAAAAGAAAAAACTTGTCTAACATCCCAATAATGGTTTAAAAATTTATGAGAAGTTAAAAAATTCTTATTCAACAGCTGTTTTATTGGCTGGTAAAATAATATTTTTATTATATATAAAAAAAATTAAACAACCCAAACAATATTTTAATGACTAATAAACAGAGAAAAAGACTAAACACCCCACCATCAAGGCTTTTTTTTCCCATTCAATAGCCTATATATAATTTCATATTAGCATCTTAATAAACTGTGTCTGTAGCTACAATACAAATCTGACACCAACACTCAATAATTTTTTACTACATAAACCTTCCTTAAACCTCACCAAAAGAAAGTCGAAACAAAAATACAAAAACGCCCTCTAAATCTGTCTTTTATATCTCTGCTGACTTTCTAACCAAAGAAACCGACAAGGAAAAAAAAAAAAAAAGAAGAAAGAAAACTTCCCATCTCGTGGCATTCTTGATCATCAAGATGATGATGGCAAGCCGTGGCGGAGGCGTCAAGCTGGCGAGTTCCATGATGTTGGTTTCACGTTCTTTCTCAACAGCCATCTATCGTGGCATAATAGCCAAAGAGGCAGTCACAGCCAAAGCGGTGGGGTTTCATGGTGATGTTGCGCGTAAGAATATTGGTGAATTTTGGGTTCGTGGTTCGGTTTTTGGTGTGAGGCATGGAAGTACTATGAGTTTCGGTGAGAAGGATCAACAGAAGGCGGAGATGAAGCAAACCCAACCGGTTGTGGAAGGTGGTGATAAAGAGGAGAAGAAAGAGATTGCTAGTTACTGGGGTGTTCCTCCTAGTAGGGTTACTAAAGAAGATGGGGCTGAATGGAAGTGGAATTGCTTTAGGGTAAGATTGTTAATTTATTTACATATTTTTGTGGTTTTTATATTGATAAAGATTTATGGGTTATTTCCTTTTTTCTTCTTCTTCTTCTTCTTTTTTTTTTTAATGTATGGTTTTGGTTTCTTGAATCAAAGTTGCTTTCTTGGTCAAAAAGTTTTCTTCTTTGTTTATTGGGAAACTTTTTGTCCTTGTTAGGGTGGTATAGGAGAGCAGGTTGAAGATCTGCTCTCCTTTTCAAGTCCGTGAGGCGAGGATCAGTACTGGACTAGATATGCATAAAAAATCTTGTGGAATTCAGTACATGTTTTCTTTTCATTTTGGGATTTGAAGATTGATCTTGTACTTACGGTTTGTTCTATGAAATTGAAGCCATGGGAGACGTATTCTGCTGATTTATCAATTGACCTGAAGAAACATCATGTCCCAGCGACCTTTTTGGACAAAATGGCTTATTGGACTGTCAAGGCTTTGAGATTGCCCACTGATCTGTTCTTTCAGGTATGATTAGTTCAATTTCTTCACTTTACCCTTGTTTTCTTTTGTTCTTCTTGATCAATTTAATTAAAGAGTTCGCAAATTCTCACTCTTTAGATTCATTAAGTTGTGTCTGTTCAAATACCCTCACTCCAAATTATCAAGATTGTTTTTTGTTAACGAAACTGAACGATCATTCATGAAAATGGTGCTATTGGGCCATAAGCTTGACTTCTGTTTTGGTTTTTAAGGTAATACAGAATGCTAGCCCTCTGTTGTTGTGTGAAATATAGTATCAGAGGCCAATTGATGGGCATGTATCTGCGGAATGAAAATTGCTCGTGGAAGATTTCAGGGAAAAATGATCTAGGAAAGATTTCCTGCCGGATGATCATCCATGAAACATATTGCAAGTGGGTCATAAATTTGATGACTAGTTCTTAAATAATCAGGAATCAGATTTCTAAATTCTCCTATGTTTTGCAAGGAAAAACAACTATCTGTGAATCTTGCTACCTACAAAAGATTGTAAGATTTACAATTCAAAAATTGAATGAATGCCGATGTATTAAAAACTTGGTCTTATTTGTGCATGTAACAGAGGAGGTATGGCTGCCGTGCAATGATGCTAGAAACTGTGGCAGCAGTGCCAGGAATGGTAGGAGGCATGCTGCTACACTGCAAGTCATTGAGGCGATTTGAGCACAGTGGAGGATGGATCAAAACACTTCTTGACGAGGCTGAAAACGAGCGTATGCATCTTATGACATTCATGGAGGTGGCAAAGCCCAGGTGGTATGAGCGCGCTCTGGTGATTACTGTCCAAGGTGTTTTCTTGAATGCTTACTTCCTTGGCTACATTATCTCCCCCAAATTCGCTCATCGCATGGTGGGGTACCTCGAGGAAGAAGCTATCCATTCCTACACCGAGTTCCTGAAGGAGTTGGACAAAGGCAACATTGAGAATGTTCCTGCTCCTGCCATTGCTGTTGATTACTGGCGCTTGCCTCCTAACGCCACCCTCCGCGATGTTGTTCTGGTTGTGAGAGCTGATGAGGCCCATCACCGCGATGTGAATCATTTTGCATCGGTAATTAATTAAGAATCTGATTGAAATTGTTCAAATTCGCCATTCTTGAACCCTTATCTTCATTTAAGACCGCTCTTCTCTCCAAATTCTTATCCGTTGTTCTTGAATCAATTGCAGGACATACACTATCAAGGACGTGAACTAAAAGAAGCTCCTGCTCCTATTGGTTATCACTAAAATGCCTACTCGCGGCTGCTGCCAGGAGACAGGCTGACACTTTTTAACTATTGTGGTATTGTGCGACGTTATATTATGCTATGAAATTTAAATAGCAATTTATGGTCATTGGTGGAACGGCGAGGTGGTTGATTAGAATTGTGGGGCCCCGGCTACCAATCATAGTGGCTGCTAGTATTGGATATCACCATCGGCCGGTGGTTGGTACTCGTCATCTTGACCGTGACCCTTAACGTTCAGGCACCAATGGCGGCGAGTGATGATTATTAATGATAAGATGCATGTTACAGTGGGAAAACCACTGCACACGTTTCTTGATTTACTGTATTGTAACGGTATGGTTAATTTGTCGTTCTATAATCATTTAGAGACATATCTGTATTTTCACTGTTTTTTAGATTCTTCGAAAAAACATTCAGCCATGTTTTAGGAGCTTTTTGATTTTTTATATATATTTTTTTGCTAGAGACTCCCTTGCCCTTTAAATCAACGTGATATTTTTATAAATAAATAAAAAAAACTACCAACTCGTCTGCTGCGCGGGTTAGCTGTTCCGCCGCCATCAGGCGTCACGTACGGCTGACTTCCGGCCGCCATCTTGGCCTCCTTTTCCTTCCTCTTAGGCATGTGTCATATTCATGATGATTATTAATTATCAGATTATTATAGCACCTCCTTTTCCTATTGTCAAGAAATGCATTGAAGTTAGCATTGAAGGAATATTTCATCACTTTAAAATATTAGAAAATATAAAAACATAATTTTTTAAAAATAAAAATAAAAAAAAGATTTAATTTTTTCAAATATTTTTAAAATACAAAAATAAATAGACAATTAATAAATTTACGTATATGCATCCAAACCAAAATAGAAAACTAGTTATGAAGGATTTCAATTACTCTAATATGTTGCGGATATGAATCCAAGAATCCAGTCAAAGATGGAAACCAAGTTACTAAAATATTTGAAATCTTTTATCAAAATTATTTATAAAATTACATTCGTTGAATTTTATAAAGTTGAGCACTAGCACGCTTGTTTTCGTCAATGATTATACGTGAATGATCACCGGTTATCATCTCATGACGGGATGAATATATACTGTTCACATATAACAATTTAATTTCAATCTCAAAATATCGGGGACTGATAGCTAACTTCTGTCATGTTTGGTTGGTAAGAAAATTTACAGTAGAAAAGTTTTTTGGGCTAAGAAAGCCCAAGAATTTCGCAAACAAGCCCAGAAAATGTCACTTCTTTCTTTATTTAGATAGTGACCAACGTTCAGTTGCACTCTTTAGAGAGACGTAGAAAGCTAGAACTGAAACACTCTCACTCCTCCTTTTTTGTAGTGGCTGGCCAACATTGGCCACTAACCGTCTTTCAATACTAGTGAGGTAAGATATTTGTGAACATAAACATTTCAAGGGTTTTATTTTTTGTGATTTGTTGGCAATTCTCAAGTTTTTGTAATCTGGGGTGATGTAATCTGGGGTGATTTAAAGTTCAAACTTTTTTTTTTTTGGGGGGAGCTGGGTGTGTTTGGTTGCTTACAAAATTGGGATTATGAACTTCAATGAGTTGTTGATTTGATTGAGTTCTTCATTTGGTTGTTTATGAAGTGAATAAGAAAAGGAAATAAAAAAATATTCTGTGAGGAATTTAAATTTTGGTTACTCAAAGTTTGAATCTTTTTGCTGTTTTTTGCTGGATTGGATGTGTTTGATTGCTTAGAAGATGACAGAATGAAAATTAGAATCTTCAACTTCCTTTAATTGTTATTTTCATTATCTTTAATTAAATGTGATTATGGCTTAAATTACTGTTTGATAATCTTAATTTTGAATCTCTTGCCATTATCTGGTACTGGCTTTGTTTGGTTGCTAAAGAAAATGCAAGAGAGAAAAAAATTGAATCTTGTTTCATTCCAGGTGATTTTTTTGTTCTAATCCTTGTTTTGAATTTTGGTTATTTATCAAGTTCACGAAAAAAATCTCCTTGTTTTGAACTAATCTTATTTATTTCAGGCACAAAACTTATAATTGTGTAGAATTCGAAGAATCATTTTTCTTTTTTTATATATATATATATGTGTGTGTGTGTGTATATATATGTATGTATGTAACTTCTAATTTATATTATCAAACTCAGGTAACCATACATTTCCTTTACAGCATCAGGAGAGATCCTTGCTATTACCGAGTTAAAATGAAGTTTGAAAAGGTATTGACTTCATCAACTCGTGCTTTCTTTGTCTGTTTTCTTAAAGGAATCAGTCAATTATTTCAAGTCCTATGTCATATGGTATTAATGTTGTAGTTAGTAGCAAACCAGCTTTGAGTGCTGTCCCAGCTCATCTCTGTTGTGGAACACTAGTAAGAATCTGGGCTGGTTATACACACGGAGTTATTGGCCACGATGAACATTTTTTATTTCTGTTGAAAATATTATTCTAAGCAAACTACAGACAATGCTAGGTAAGTAATAGGCATTTCCAATTATTGAAAACCCCCTCCCAGATTACTTGCATTGCAGTGCCAAGTGAAGATAATTGAGCGCTATTAAACCTATTTTGTTTCCTATTGGTTTGGATCACTAATTGAAATAAACTTTCACAGCATCCGGCCAAAGCAAGAATAGGAAACCAACAAAATATGACACCTGTGGCTCTTGGTGTGGGTACTGGTTCAGTGTCCATTGCTAGAAACAGCAGAACAGCTTCACCATGTAGAGAAATTAAAATTGTAAGAGAATGCATTTGATGCTCATCTGCATCAGTTTATGGTTTTGATGATTTATAGATTGCAATTGAGATAAATCATTCTATGTTTTTGCTTTGTTTTTATATAATTGGCTGTGTAGGTCCAAGATTTGATCGAAAGGTGTCTTCAACTTTATATGAATAAAGATGAAGTGGTTAAGACACTCTTAGAACAAGCTAGAATTCAGCCTGGCTTTACAAGCATAGGTAAATCACTCATTCCTCGCTACATGTCTTCTTACTTTCTCTTCTACATACAGTGGTGCTTGGTTGTCATCACTCGATAAATGGACAAAAAGAATGAGATGTTAGTGCAATGGTGCTTCTATCATTGGAGTGCCTGGGCTGATATTATATCATTGTGATCCAGTGTTGCTAATGATAATCTTTCCCTTTTCCCCTATTCTTCTATTCCATGCTATCTTTATCTGCTGCTTATCTTTGGGATTAAGTGCATGAATCCATGGCTCATATAAATATTATATATATTTTTTTATATAATAGCTCCAACATACTTTTTTTCCTAGTATGGAATAGATTGGAGCAAGACAACGCAGGATTTTTTAAGGCCTATTACACAAAGTTAGTTTTGAAGAGACAAATTGCAAAGTTCAATGAATTACTTGAGAATCACCACAATTTGCTGAGTTACGCTGCACCTCGGGAGGTTCCCTTGGCTCCCATGCAGGAAGGCATTCAGCACATGCCAGGTACGTTTATGGCATAAATATTATATTGTATCAAAAGCATAATAAAGTTAAAGAATACAAGTTGGCATTTGAATAAATTTGAAAAAAATATGCTGATAGAAAAAATATGCTCTCAACATTTTTCTCTACTGCCTTTATTTGTAAAGCCTAATTTTATTATCTTGAATGGAAGATTGGAGTGGGGCGTCTGATGCCCTGAAATCAACCTTCACCCCCTAGCTTGGTAGCACATCCGCTGTTTTCATTTTTTGCACTGGTATGCAAGGGGCTTATTGTTAATTGCACAGACAATTCTGAAGAAATCTTTTGATCGAAAGGAATAACTATGGTATTGATGGTATGATATTTCTATAGTCATGTACATTACAAAGAGGTGGCCAAAGGAGTGCTTAAGAGTTAGACACTTTGAATCTCTTATTGGGCACATAAAACACAATCCAAAACTTTCTTCAAGATAAAAAACCACATCCAAGCACAAAACATATACAATTTCACTAGGTTGTCTAATTATTCTCAAGCTGTTATTCATCATGCCACTTATTTCCAGCAAGTAAAAATCCTTATTGCTATTTTATCATGATATTTTTTCTGAATTAGAGCTTTTTGCTCCTTTTCTGTAGCACAGTTAACCATTTACATAAGGTATATACCCTTCCGCAGCAGCATCCAATTCCATCAACTAGTAATTACCAGAATGATTCTAGAGGCACCATTTCCAACTATGACCTAGCATATGAAAACCCAGAATGTGGCAATTTCCTCTCAACTCAGATGAATTATGGGATATGGTGAGACTTCCTTCTCAGTCTTGGTTTCTTGTCTTTTCTCTTCTTAATGTTTAATGCTCATGTGGCTTGTAATTCATACAATTACATTGGTGATATCATAGGAAGTTGCCATGTGGGTGTTTCATGAATGATACCTTTGCACTTGTGCTTATTATTCAGTGTGCTCTAAATGCTATTGTTATTGATATATACTCTCAACAGTATAAATCTGCATTGATTCTGGAATATGCTTCTTCCATAGAAATTTTCATTATCATCCATGCATTATGTTGTGACTGTTGATTTGCCTGGAACTTGATGAATCTTGTCGCACAAGTAACAAAACAGAAACAAAGTTGAAATCCATAAATGTGTGTGTAGATATACAAAATATTGATAAATTAGATTGAACTGGAAGGTTTAGAGGTCATACAAATTATCAAGCGATGTATTACGAATAATATAAATACTTAGTTTATGCTGTGGTGATCTTACTGCTCTGCTGTTTGTTGAAGGATGACAATGGACAATAACGCAGCAGATATAGAGCCTAACCATCCTTTTATGAAGCCAGAGATTCCAAGTCCTGTATCAGTTACATCCCATGATCATTTTCCTTTCATTCCAAGAGAGATACAAGAGAGTGTGGTCCCCTCAGCTGTTGAATTTGCTGAGTTATCTCATTTGCAAAGTGTAAGACAGGTGCCACTTGGACCTGGTAATGCTAGCTCCAATAACTTGGTAGAAGGTGAGACAAACACATTATATTCTGAAACTCTTCGTGGTGCTGGTCTGCTATGGTGTGTGTGTGTATCATTCTAAATTATTTCCAAGTAATACACTGTTTCATCTATCAAATCATTAACTGGCTTAAGGAAACTCAACAACAGCAATTAAGCAAAAACTGCATTAGACTTCACAACATAATATGATAAAAATCCCCCTTTTATTTGTTGAGTTGCATAATTCATGTTATTCTTTCATATGCTGAACAGCGTATTCAGGTTCCACTTCTACTGGATTGCTTGATCCTTTGGAGCAAAATGACAATGGTAAATTGCCAGTTCTTTCATTCGTGTTTTAGACTCACTCTATCTCCAGATATTTTATGTAACTTTTTTGTTATTTGCATCACTCTATCTCCAGATTTTTTATTTAACTTTTTTGTTATTTGCATCAGTCGAGGAGTTCTTTGTCGATACCTTTCCTGCTGCAAGCTCTCAATCAGAAGAAGAATCTTAAGTGAAGCCCTCACAGTTTTAGCCCTAGTTTTTATTTAGCTAGATCTATTTTGAACTCGAGAAGCTTCCCTAATTTTCTTGACTTTCTAGAGGGATCTAGTGCACTAGGGTGAATTTGAAACCTTAAAGCAGATTAAGGCAGGCATCAATAAGCCTTCTGCTATATTTTATCTTTCTAATAAGCAAACTCACCTGCATTTTGCCGCGGGCCAAATAAAAAAATAATTTTAATGCAATAAAAAAATATACAGACATTATTAATATATTTTTACATCCAGAAAGTTTTTATTTATGAATTAAGAACTTGAAGCGTGCATTTAATAAAATTAACTTATTATCTATCAGGGTTGTTAACTTTTTTACCCGCATTGCATTGCAGGTAGTATAGGGTGTTGTGGGTAGAATTTTGCAATGCATTTTTGAACAGAAATTAAAGGATATTGGAAGCTAATAACTTTAGCTTTGATCCCTTTTTACCCTGTTATAGAGTAGAATATTTGTTATAAGACTTTGCTACAAGTGCATGTGAAGGGTGCTTGGGCGCCTGAATCCTCAACGCCTTAAGTAAACCGTTTCCTCCCGCACCTTCACTACGAATACAAACAACCCTATTTCTAAAGGACTATGTTTATGACACCTACATGAAAGTTTCTGGTATCCCAATGATAGGATACCAGACATTTTTTCTGGGTAAAGAATCGACGCAGACAGGAACTGTTTTTTATTTGCCATGGTTACTTTAGAAATAGGCGTTCCATGGGAATCAAATAATGTCAGGCCACAATGTTTCATCATAATTTGATAACCTTTTTTCAGTAATTATTTCAAACTCAATATATTGTTTTTTTATAGTTAGGATATTATAAACATCATCAATAAATTAATGACTATCATCTTTCAGTTGTACCTTTTTTTTATGCATATCTTTGAATGATTGACATTACCTGTAATTGATTTATAAAGCTTTATGAACTTGTTTTTTATCTCTACACATGTGATTATTGGCTTTATTGTCAAGATACAACATGTTTTCTTTGATTTTCATTTGTCCATCATGGACTAGTAATAGGGTGGCTTCCTATTCTTCTTCTACTGTAAGATTGACATTCTCTTCAACCTTTTTGGTTTGATTCCAGCAATCCCTGGCATGTGACAATTTTTTTTTTAATAATTATAACACTTAATTTTTTATTTGTCATACTTGGACCTTGGATTGCTACTGCTGAGGATCTGGTAGTCCGGTTGGCTTTATCCAGTCTATTGGATGATCTGTTGAGGTTACCTCAGCCTCCTCTTTCAAATCTAGCTCTTCCTTTACCTTGTCCACAATCTCTGCACCTTTGGTTGGATCCTGGAATATCATGTTTCTCATTTAGAGAAAACTTCAAAAACAATATTTGTGCACTTGTATCTCTTTTGTTCTCACTTACTCTATCTTCATAGGCTTGTGGGGTTCTCCTGGTTGACTCAATGGTCACATTCTCCCAATCTTGAGATTCCTCTATCGACATAACTACAGAGTTGAACCTTTTAGGCATTGATCTCATGATCTTTTCTACTGCACGTATTTCTTTCACATCGTCACTGCATATAATCATCTGAATGTAAATTGCCAACACTCTGCCAAAGGAACCTGAAATTCATTCAGATTCATGCATTCACAATGCCTCAAATTCTCCTTTTAGTTTCTGAAGGTGAACTCTTTTTATTTTCTCAGTTCCTTATTTTGTCCCTTACAAAATATCTCATGCTTTTTTAGTTGTGGTTGCTCTTGACACCTTAGAAAAGTGGTGTCATCCAAACAATGATGAATCATTGTTATTGCTTGGTGATCTGGTGATCTTTTTTTTTCGTGCCTTTTGCACAACCTCTTTTTGGGCAGGTGTCAACATAGCTCCTTCAACTGGTCCATTAAAACCTGCTTTAACCATCTCTCATACATCTTGAGCTCCTAACCAAGCCTTTGCACGGACACTCCATATCTCATAATTGTTCTTTGTCAAATGAGGACCTTGAAGGGAGAGATTTGAGTTGGCCATTACATACAATCAAATTTAGCCACAAATAATCAATCTTGGTTCTGATACCACTTATTGGAAGAAGATTAGTGCATAAACTTATTATAGATAGTAATGCTAATTTGCAAAACTAAAGAATATGAAGAAATTGAGAGGAATGTATACTTTATTAAGTGGTTTTCTCTAATTTTGTCTCTGCTATACTGCTTCTTATAACTCTAACTTCAAGCTTATTTATATGCCTAAAGTTCTAGAAAAATAAGAAATTGAACTGAATAAGAAATCTATTCTAACTACGAAAATAATTATGTCAACTCAATCTGGAAATTGAATGCCTCTGGATGCAAGAAATCTTAGTTTAATTTTATTTTTAACACGATCATCATTTCCCATTTCTTGAATATGATGAAAAGAAGTCTGGTCATAGTGATGATACCTGATAGGATGTGGGAAAATGTTTTTTTTTTTTTTAAAAAAACTTCATTAGGTATGGAAATGTGAAGGTCATGGTTAGAGTTCAGGATAAGGAATTAAAGATATATACAAGTGGAACACATGCACAAGTAGAGATGCAGATATCTGAGTTATTAGTATGTAGGACATTGTTCTCATTATTTTCTAATGTGATTCTTTTGGTCTTGGTCAGTCGAATGATCAAAAGGCCTGCTCTCCTGAATGTGTTTGTATAACTCCCTTTATGTTAAATCGTGTAATTCGTAGCTTAAAACTGCACTTTTGGATGGAATTCAATATTTTGGTCATTGATGATAAAGAAAACCGTGATTACTCTCTTTGATATTGATGTATGGAATTTGAAAGGTTCTGAACAATCATTTGAAAATATATTATAATTTAACCATGTAGAAAACCTAGGATATATATATTTACTTATTGACCAGGACAAGTCTAAACCTTAGAAGAAGCCTAATCAAAACAACCCGTAACTTTTGATTTGATTATTAGATCATGTTTAAATTCAACTAAGAGGTTTTACAAATCCAGTTATTAGGGGTTGGATCGTAACCAGCTGAGGTTTGGGAAGGCACTCAAATTTGGCTCATAAGATGTTATGTTAGTTTTGTTATTTTCTGCTTTATTTTTGGATTTTCAACATAATTTTGGATTTTGTGTTATTTTTCCAACGTAATGGAGGATTCTAATTTTTCCTTCCTTGTGAGAGCCAATTTCTGACCTATTGTAATCCTCTATCAAGAGGTAGACCATCATAGAGAATAAAATTCAGTAATAAAACACAGATTAAGGCTGTTGTTGTTGAGACAATTTTTCTGATAATTTTGACTTATATGTGCTTTACTTCCTTAATGCCTAGGTTCGGCTGTGCCAGTTTTGCTCTGCATAACCTAACATCCCTATTTTATTTACTGGTGAGCTTCCACTTCAATCCAGTGAACCAATGCGTTTTGCATCTTTATTATTGATGATGATGATGATGAAGATGATCAAACTGCAAAGTTGGTAAAAAAAGTTAAAGATGGAGATTCTTTACTAAACATAGTATAAATTAGATTAAACTATGAATTATCTGTATTTAACAAGAGACCATTTCATTACAGAGTCAGATCACTTGGCCAAGACGACTCCATGCACAGTTACAATCCTCATATCCGAAGTAAAATGAGGTATGCAACAGTAGACAAGGCATATGTATTGAATCCTTCGTATGTGCATGCAGCCATCAAAAAATTACAATAAGACTGATTGCCGATAGCTACCAACATTTCTGCATGGAAAACCTTCTATCTCTTCTTGGTTAGAAAGAAACAAGAGTGGCAAGAAAGCAAGTAGCAGTGAAAGTTCTCAAGTTTCTTGAATGTTTGATTACTCTACTTTTCATTCTTTCTATTTATTTGGGATAATTACTGCGTTTGGTTGCTAAGAACTTTCAAGAAAGAAATTTTAGAATCTTGAACGTCATTGAATTGTTAATTTTTAGTGTTTTTTTTGGCTTCTAGGTTCTTTGTGAAGTAAAAAACAAAATAAGACATTCAACTAAGTAGAATTTAAGGAACTTGGTTCTTCTTTCGTGTCCTGTGGCATTCTCACGTTTCTTTAACTTTTGGGCTCCCGGAATTTGGATATTTTTGTCATATATTGGGATTTGGGGATGTTTGGTCGCTAAGAAAATGCAAGAAAATAAGAAGAAATTGTCTTGAATTCAATTTATTGTTTCTTTTCAGTGGTTTTTCTTTTGTTTTCGTTCTGTCCCTTTTCTTCTCCCTTGAGAATAGTTATTTGTTCTTTCTTGATAATCTTCTATTTTTGTTGATTCATTGCATCTTAACTTTGAATCTCTTGCCCTTTCTGAGAAATTGTCTGTGTTTGGTTGCTAAGAAAAGGCAAGAAAGAAAAATCTGGAATCTTGAATCGCATTTATTGTTTCATTTCATTGAATTTCTTGTTTTTCAGTTTGTTTTTTCTTCCAAGTTTTGTTACTTCTGGAGTAAGAAACAAACCAGCATTGACATAATAAATCATTTTTTCATAATGTAATATTGTTTATTGTCAAATTCAGATAATGATACATTTCCTATGCAGCACCAAGAGAGATCCCACGCCTGGACAGGAGAAAGTGATTGCTTGCATTGAGTTGAAATGAGCAAGGTGGAGGTATTGAATTCCTTGTTAATTATCCGTAAGAATCTGAGTTGGTTAAGTGAAAATAATGTGGGCATTAGTGGTTATTAAATGAAATGAAAGTCCCACAGGAGAAGCAAGATTCAGCAGAAGAAACAAGATTGTCAGCACTGGCATCTTGGAAGCGACCAAGAAGGGAACACTCTGGGGCTTCATTTGTGGGCTCGATTTTAGTGGAAGTGCCAAGTTGTCAGGTGGAGGGGTGCCATGTGGCGTTGTTGAATGCTAAAGATTTTTACAGGAAGTATAGAGTTAATTTGTGAGACGCATTCCAAGGCTCCTAATGTAATTGTTCGAGGTTTGGGGCAGCGGTTCTGTTAGATATGTACCTGGTAACATTAGCGTTTCTCACTCTCTCAATTACAGCCAGCTGATTTGTTTTAGCCTATAGTAACTATTCCTGGATTTATGAGATTTTCTTCAGTTGTCTTGTCTTTACAGAATCTGATGTAGAGTGACAGTTTGCCTGGAATGATGATTGCTGGATGGGCTTCTTGGTGAGATTAAAAGTGGGCTTAGCTTGTTATTTGTGTAGGTTTCATGTAGTGTCAGAGTTTGATGGTGAAAAGAGGAGTTGTAGGAGGACATTGGCAGAGCGCAGAGAAACAAGAAGAAAGAGCTCTCAGGATTCTGTTTCAAGGAATGCTTCTGAAGGTATGTATGTAATGTCCTTTCACTTGACTTGTTTCTGTAGCTCTTCGAAAAAAAAAAACAATCAGTTTTGTCTTGCGCTTCCATTCTTTCTAGGTAATTCAATTTCCATTGTTGGAATTAGATGATGATGACTAGCTTTTTTTCTAAAGAACTGTCAGGAATAACCTCATGAAGATGTCCCTTTTCTTTTCTTTTATTTTGAGAAGCAAAGTTCATGTTCTTTCATAATTTGAATAGAATATCTGATTTCTGGTGTACTTACCAACTTCCATGGCCAAATCTCAATCCAGGATCTACTATATTGCCTGATCCTCTAGAGCCAAATCTCAATCCACGCTCTCCTATATTGCCTTGCCTGATCCTCCAGCGCCAAATTCCAATCCAGATTTTGGTACTCTGCTTGATCATTCACAGCCAAAAATCGATGGTAAATCTTCATTTCTTCCCTTTATCTTCTTATTCTGTCTCTTTTTGACAAATTGTGTTCCATTGTCATTTGATGAGAATCTCAATCATCCTTGGACGCTCAATCAGAAGAAGAATCCTAACGCAAGGCGCTTACAATATTAAGCCTGGAAAAGCTTCACTGGTTGTTTGGCTGCATGGTGCATCTACTTCATCAGGGTAACTTTGAAACCTGAAGATGATTAAGGCTGGCGAAAAATGTTGTCCCGCTACTGTATTTTCCCCCTTTCCTTTTTGCAGCAGAATATGTTTCATGTATATTGAATCAGACAAATCTATGTAGTTGACTCCCAATTGAGTTAACTCAATTGAGTTTTATTCCAAAGCTCTTTTATAATTACTTCAGAAAAAATTCAAAGTGCAGATACACATACGACACAGAAATCAACTTAATTACAGTAAAGCAAGTCTTGCAAATGGAAGAGCTGCTTTCTCTCCAAAAATTACTGTCTAACCAACTCTACAACCAACTAACGATATTAACAGCTTGAATCCTCACCATTTGCCGAAGTATTCTTGTTTTATTTATTTATAAAAGACGAGAACTTCAATAAAATATTTTATAGCCAGGAAGAAAATGTCTATACAGGACTAAACAAAACAATGTCTTAATAACCCCCTAACAGAAACCAAACTTTGAGATTATTAAAAACTAAAACCATGCAACTCAATCTGTTTCTCTAGGAATCAACTCCTTGCTTTGCCGAATGATCTATCACAAAACAAAGGATACTCCCAGAATTTGAAATATCATAGAATTCATCTTATAAGCGTCATGGTCTCATCATATTGTGGCTCTTGATCCATGTAATGGCATTATATAAATCAAACTTCTTGTAAGTGTATAGGAACAATTCATATACACTTAAAAAGCTTTTTTAATTGTCAACACTTCAGTCACATTTGATTCTTTTATACCTGTAGAACAAAAGAAAACACATAAAAGATTTCCTTCATGATCTCTTAAAAAGTGACCAATGCTAAATGGTTGGAGTTTGCCATTTGAACAACTATCCATATTCCACTTTAACATCCTTACCGGAGGTGGTATCCAAGTCGAATTACATTGTATTTTAGTTGTGTCAATCCAAATAAAAAGCTCATCAGGTGATTGAAGCAAATTTGTTCCAATATAGCAAAAAAATTCACAATCATATTTTGCTCAAGATGTTACTTTATGGGAAAGGAAATGATATATATCATCCCAATCAAGAAGTACCTAATTGGAAACCAAGCATTTCAAAGGGACCAAACAATACATAAAAGAATAATAACACATTTTTCTTTGCATAGAATCCATTATCATTTCATGCGCTGTAGGAAGAATGCTTTTATCTCTCTTGAGTGTTTTAAACCCATCACCAATGATCTCTCCCACCAAAACATGTACACTTTTGCACCAGGTCGTTGCCTATGTAAGTAAAATTCTTACACTTGATTTAAACCACATAGCCAATATGTAAGAATCAAGTCCAAAACCGTATCCTAGTTTGGTTGTTTTTAATCAAAGATTAAGTTATTCCGAGTTAACCATATACCCCACGCTATCCCATAAGAGAGAATATTCCATGTTTTTTTTGCATCTTACCATTAACCAACAAATGCCATTGCAGAATCTGATGATCATCTTGTTGGTGGGAGAAACCACTGGTGGTGGCTTTGAAACACTCAAAGGGGATAAAACACACTCTTTATTTCAAGAATAAAAGCTTACAATAATTAAAACAAAAGTTTCAATGCACACCCTCTCTCTTTCTATCTATATTTCTCTCAAATCTCTCCACACATAATTGCATAAGCTTAACTGCCTATTTATACACGAATTCAAAACAAGAAAATTCAACCTTCAAGTGTGAAGATGGCTGTGGTCGACGGTGTGAAGGCGGCTAGTGGCTGGACGATTGGGCGGTGATAGCTAATGGTTGCCTTCCTTGACCTTCTAGATTGAGTTTATTTTAACAAATCTTCCCTTTAAACTCAATCGAGGGATGTCATGCCAAACATGAATTTCAATTTGATAAATACTTCTCTCTTGAATGGTTTGTAAAGATATCTGCAACTTGATCATTTGTCTTGCAGGATATTAGCTCGGCTTCTTTGTTCTTTACATACTCTCGGATAAAGTGATGACGTGTATCAATGTGTTTATTTTTTTCATGATACACCGGGTTCTTTACCAATGCAATTGCTAATCGATTATCGATATAAATCTCTATAGGATTTTCTTGAGGAAATCCCAAATGCTTTAGCATATTAAATGGCATACAGCTGAGTTGACAGCAACATACTCAGCTTCATAGCTTGATAACGTTACTATCAATTACCTCTTGGATGAGCATGTAAAAAATATATATTCCATGAAAAAGACAAACCCTGTTGTGCTTTTCCTTTCATTCAGATCTCTACCCCAATCACTATCCGAGTAGCCAACAAGATTGGAGTTTTTGCTTGAGGTATAAAACATACCTTCATTTATTGTGCCTTTGATGTAGCGAAGAATTCTCTTGGCTGCATTTAAGTGAGACTAGTCTGGCTTCTCCATATATCTGCTAATCAGTTTAACTCCATAGAGTATATCCGGTCTGGTGCATATCAAGTACCTTAAACTTTCTACTAAGCTTTTGAAGTAAGTTGGATCAACATTTCCAACTTTACTCTTTTTTAATTCCACTCCATTCTCAACTAGAGTTGATACCAGATTGCAACTTTCCATCTTGAATCTTTCAAGAATGTCTTTGGCATAACTGCTTTGGGATACAAAAATCCCTTCTTCTTTCTGCACCATTTCTAAGCCAAGAAAATGTACCATCAGACCAATGTTTGTTATCTCAAACTTCTATACCACGCTTTTCTTGAAGTCTTCAAACATGGTAGATTTGTTGTCGGTGAATCTCAAGTCATCAACATATAGGTACGCAAATAATATGCTACCATCTACTTCTTTCTTCACATAAATTGCTTGTTCATATGAATATTTTTCAAATCCACTATCTTGAAAATACCTGTCAATTCTGGTATTCCAAGCACGTAGAGCTTGCTTCAAACCGTAAAGGGCTTTTTTTAACTTGTATACTTTGCCTTCATTTTTAGCTTCAATGTATCCAAGTGGTTGTTCAACATAGATCTCTTCTTCTAGGAAGCCATTCAGAAATGCTGACTTCACATCGAGTTGATAGATCTTCTATTTATGTTGTGCAGTAAGTGAAATCATCAGTCTGATTGTCTCTAGCCGGGCTACTGGAGCAAATACTTAATCATAGTCAATGCCTTCTCTCTGTTGTAGCCTTTCACCACTAATCTTGCTTTGTATCTTTGCACTTCTCCTTTTGCATTCTTCTTTGTCTTATAGATTCATTTGACATTTATTGCTTGCTTATTTTCTGGTAGATAAGTTAGCTTCCAGGTATCATTCTTCTCAATGGCATGCATTTCTTCATCCATTGCTTCTATCCACTTCTCTTCTGTGATAACTTCATTGAAGCTAAGTGGGTCACTATCTGCAAAGAAATAAAAAGGAGTTGTATCTTTTATGATTTGAGTGGCATCGTACAGCTTGTCTAGATTTCTCATCCTTCTTGGTCCTTTTGATGAGGATGCTGATAATGGTGTTGATGATGATTCTGGTGTGTTTCTCCTATTGAATATAAGGAATCTGTGTATCGGACTTTGTGGCTCGTCTGCCGGTACTATTGGACCTTCTACAAGTACTGTTGGTACTTCTTCGTCTTCAAGGATCAAATCAGTACTGATCCATTTGATTGCTTCTTAGTCATCATTTCATTGCCAAGTTTTATCTTCTTCAAAGATAACATATCTACTCATAATTACCTTCTTTGTGATAGGATTATACAGCTTGTATCCCATCCTTCTCTCACCGTATCCGACAAAGATGCATTTCTCGCTTTTATCATCGAGTTTGGTCCTTCTTGCATCTGAAATCTTTGCATATGCCACATAACCAAAGACTAAAAAATGAGTAACACTTGGTTTGTGACTACTCCATGCTTCTTATGGAGTAACAACTTGCAAACTTCTAGTTGGATAGCGATTCAGTAGATACACTGCACATGATACAACTTCAGCCCAGTATTGCTTGGGCAGCTTCTTTGCTTTGAGTAGACTTCTTGCCATGTCAAGAATTGTTTGATTCTTTCTCTCAGCTACACCATTTAGTTGTGGTGTATAAGCTGGTGTTGTCAGATGTCTGATGCCTTGTTGTGTACAAAAAGCTTCAAAGTCATTTGCTGTATATTCTCCACCTTGATTAGATCTCACGGTTCTGATCTTATAACCACTTTGCTTTTTAACAATTACTTTAAAATCTTTAAAACAATTGAACACTTCTGACTTCCTTTTTAGAAAGTATATCCAGGTCTTTCTGCTAAAATCATCAATGAAAGTAAGAAAGTACCTATTTTGTACAGTTGACATAGGCTTTATTGGACCACACATATTTGTGTGCACT